GGTGTTTATAGAGGCTGCCATACCAGAGGTTATGTACTGTGGTTAATTGCTCTTAAATCTTGACATCTGCTAAGTAGTTAACTTACCAGGCAATACATTTTATGCTTTTACAGTAAACCAATACTATATCTAATGCTGTGTCAGTATCCACTCCCTCCCCCCCCCCCCCCCCCCCCCCCCCTAAAAAAAAAAATCCATTATTCAAGTTTTTGATACCCTGAACTATTTTTGAAAATCCCAACTAGACACTAACTCCAGTGACCCATTTACAGAGCATTCATAGAGCAGCTTCAAGAGTACAGAGACCAATGCACACAAGTATTGTCTGAAGTATCGCACTCTCTGGACCATCTTAAAGCTCTGCAGTCTCAGTACGTGCTGGTGTCAACGAAGACCAATGCCCTGCATGAAGCATGTGAGCATCTTCTAGCCGAGCAGACAAAGCTGGTGAATACTGCGGAGAGCATTAACAACAGGCTGTCCTATTTCAATGAGCTAGAGAGGATATCTAGTGTAAGTGTCCAGTTTGATGAAAAAAAGTCAAGCATTTGAAGAGGGCAGACCTTTACAAAGGCAGTTCAGTTCTTTGACTTGTATTTAACAATTTAGTCTATTGAACATATTTGGTTTCTAGGCTGTAAATATTATTATTATTATTATTATTATTATTATTATTATTATTATTATTATTATTATTATTATTATACCTTTTCAGAAACTCGGCTCTCCCACCCTGGCAGTGACCAGTGAATCTTTTGTGCCCATGCTTAGCAGGCTAGATGAGTGCATTGCCTACATACAGGGAAATGTAAGTAATTTGGTATAGATATAACAGTGTTCAAATTAACCTCCCAACAACAACTGCCTAGCCTGTCCAAAGCAATTCATTTTCCAGGAGAGATTAATGCATTGCTGAAATACAGGTAGATGTCAGTAATTATTATAGAAATAACAGTGTTCAAATTAACCTCCCTACAACCCCCCCCCCCCCCCGTCTATCCCAAGTGATTTGTTTTTCAGGAGAGATGAATTTGTGTTTTATTGGATTTATTGTAAGCACTCACATTTACATAACTCTAAATCAAATTCTTAATTATTACTTCGGCCAAGGAGGTTATGTTTTCACCCCTGTTTGTTTGTCTGTCTGACTGTCATCAACATTTCTCAAAAAGTTATGGACCGATTTTGATGAAATTTTCAGGAACCATCAGAAGTGGACCATAGAACAAATGATTAGTTTTTGGTGGTGATCCGGATCGTTAATCAATCAATAATCAATAATAATCAAAAATTGCTGCCTTGGCGGAGGTCTGCACTCTCGGAGTGCTTTTCTAGTTATTATTATTATTATTATTATTATTTCAGCCCCAGTACAAGGAGACCCACACGTACCTGGCCAGGTTTAAGCAGTGTCTGTGCAGGGCTCTCACTTTGATCAAGACCCATGTAGTCAACCTACTGCAGAGCGCTACACAACATGTTTTACCCAAAAAGGTGGCTCGTTTGCCCTTTTCTTTTCCAGAACCGGCCTATTTTCATCCTAAATTCAGTTGATCATAAGGTTATTGAAGTTATACAGTGAATTAAATGAGAAAAAGAGATTTAGAATTTTATATCTGTTTAAAGTAACATGTATTAAGTGAGGTTTTTAATGGCTGGTTAAAGAAAACGAAATTAATGTGTAATGAAAAAGTTCAGTAATTTTAACCTTTGACACTATTTATAAGACTGAGTGCTTGTTAAAGTTTCTGAGGATTTAATGATAAGAATGAAGTTCAGTTTATCAAACTCATTCTCAATATTCTCGTAGATAGATTTACACAGGACTATTTTGTCATTTTCGAGAGTAACCAAGTTTGCATTACCTCAGAATAGCTAGAAAGATAGTGTTGTTTGATCTCTTCCCCTTACCCAACTTCCAGTCCCAAGCATCATTGTTACCATCAATTGATATTTCTGAAATCATCTCTTTATTCATCCAAAGCTTTTTTTCATAATACTGTTGTGTTGTATGTTATATTCTACTCTTGAAAAAATGGACTGATTTCCATTTAGATATATCTCATCCTCATCCTCATTATTATTATTATTATTATTATTATTATTATTATTATTATTATTATTATTATTATTATTCCAGGATGGTCCTCCCCAGAGTGAGAATGCTTTCACTCTATTTTATGGCAAGTTTCGCACCAATGCTCCCAGAGTGAAGTCCCTGATGGAACAGATTGAGCAAAGAATTGACAAGAGTCCAGAGTAGGTGGCTTAGGGAGTTTTTAATTAATTATGTTTAAAACAATATGTCACTACTTGATCTGGTTTTTTGGCACTTTTAAGCTTTACAAAATGTCATGACATTTCTGTCACATTGTATTACCTTTTACAAGGTCCAACAATTGCATGCGAAGAAAAATGTCAAATTTGACACATCTGGCACAGTCATGTGTCACAAAGTGTCTCAGTGTCACAATGACATGTCACACCCAGTGCACTGACATGTGCCACACTTAACACCATGACACATGGCACACCTAGACTGACATCAGATTCAAGGCAGTGTTGAACCTAACACACCTTTTGATTCCCTCAGATATTCCCAGATGCTGACCGACTGCCACCAGTGTTATTTCCAGCAAAGACTGACACTTCTTGGTCCCAGTGTCAGCTCCGCACTTACGGACCTGTCCACTAAACATGTCAGAGACCACTGCGCCCTGGTATGTATAAACAATATCTTGTGCCCTGGTATGTATAAACAATATCTTGTGCCCTGGTATGTGTAAACAGTATCTTGTGCCCTGATATGTATAAACAGTATCTTGTGCCCTGGTATGTGTAAACAATATCTTGTGCCCTGGTATGTATAAACAGTATCTTGTGCCCTGGTATGTATAAACAATAGCTTGTGCCCTGGTATGTGTTAACAGAATCTTGTGCCCTGGTATGTATAAACAATAGCTTGGGCCCTGGTATGTGTAAACAGAATCTTGTGCCCTGGTATGTGTAAACAATAGCTTGGGCCCTGGTATGTGTTAACAGAATCTTGTGCCCTGGTATGTATAAACAATAGCTTGGGCCCTGGTATGTGTTAACAGAATCTTGTGTATGTATAAACAATAGCTTGTGCCCTGGTATGTGTAAACAGTATCTTGTGCCCTGGTATGTATAAACAGTATCTTGTGCCCTGGTATGTATAAACAGTATCTTGTGCCCTGGTATGTATAAACAGTATCTTGTGCCCTGGTATGTATAAACCATTATCAAGGCTCCTCGCAAACATTTTGCCAAACAGCGCCGATTTTTTTTATTAAATTTTTTTTAGGGATGAAAATTTATTATTGTTTGTGTGTGTGTGTGTGTGTGTGTGTGTGTGATTTTTTTTTTTTTTTTTTTTTTGATCAGTTTACATCAAAATGAGGCCTCAATCTTAAATAAGAAACCTCATTTGGAGATGATGCCATTCACTCTGATCTTTCTTTCTTTCAGATGCGCAGTGGATGTGCTTTCATGGTCCATGTTTGTGAAGATGAATATCAGCTGTTTTCTCAGTTCTTTACACATCATACTACATTATTAGAGTGAGTAGTACTAGCAGCCCAGCTCTTGTCTTCCGGCAAAGTGATTGGTCATGTATGGCAAAAATATATGTTATATGATGATAAATTTTGTGTCAATATGTAATTTAATTTATACCAGTATTGCAGTGATTCCGTTTCTCCATAAAAACATATAATGATGCAGTTAAATATGATGTCTCTTGACTGTTTTATCTGTACACTCTGGGTTTAATTTATTTAAGTTCAATGCTTAATATGCTCAAAGTTGAGTGGTATGGTAGCAATTGGCTATAATTTTTTTTCTGTTGGTCATATGTTTATATGTAGCTCAACTAAAATTTGTGAGTGTTATAAATAGCTCTCAGAAGGGAAATGTCTGACATGAAAATATGTCTGAACATTTGATATGTATGCCAGGGGCGGATCCAGAGATATTTTCTGACAGTCTTACAAATTATCTTTATTGGTCCATCCTCCATTTTTGACCATCTTCAAACAGAAAAAATTAGATACCCGTCAATGTAAACATGAAAATCTGACCGTCTTCCAGAAGACCCAGAAGACGGCCTAAATCCGCCCCTGGGTATGCTGTCTATTTTATTTTCATCACTGTTTTTTCATTGATGTAAGTGGTGCATTGAATGACTTCAGCAAGTGCTCCACTGTTCACTTTCAGCTCAATGTTACTTGGGTTGTGCAATCAGCTTTACGATGTTCTTCGGCCTCTCATTATACACGTGAATCATCTGGAGACCTTGGCAGAACTCTGTAGCATAATGAAGGTGAGCATGATTTATATCCTGGTGGTTTTATTTTTAAAAATGATAAGATTGTATCACATTTTATTTGATAATGATAATGAATCCGATTTTTGCTGCTTTAGTATTTACAATAAAGGCGAGCCTTTTCTGAACACCCATGTAATTTTTATTCAATTGATGAATTATGAAGACATTAAACATTTTGATAGATGAAAAGGATGGTGGTGTTAATAGTGCATGTGTTGTTTACAATGTATATAGTTTGGAATTTTGAATCTCATATGAAGAGTTGTTATCCCTTTAAAATCCCACATCTTTGAGGTCCCATATCCTGATTACTGAAAAGACACTGGCATTATGCAGTGTTGGTGGTTGATTTGAAAAAAGATTTTATTTATTTATTTGTTTATTTATTTATTCCTGTTTTTAGGTTGAAATGCTGGAAGAACATGTACTGCATAACCGTGAGTATTTCCTAACAGAAAAAGGTAAATGTGTCTTGGAATTAGTTCAAATGGTACACTCTGTGCACTCTGTTTTAAACATGTTGCTACATATACTGGAGATGGCAGACAACAATTGCAGTGTGAAAATAGTTGGCAGATTAGCATTATGATGCCTTGGGCAATAGATTAATGAACCGTATGTTAGCTTGGGACAAAGAATTTGGTAAACAACATGTGGAAAAATGGTCAAAATTTGTGTACTGGTCCTTTATGGTCTGTTCTGTTATTTTCTAGCCAAAGAGCTACAGGCATTTGAGACAGTCTGCCTTCAGATGCTGGAAGACGTCCAGGAAAGACTAGTGTACAGAACTCATATCTACATCCGGTCCGACATCTTGAATTATCATCCTGCAGCTGGCGACTTGGCGTATCCTGAAAAACTTGAAATGATGGAGGTGCGGTTTATATCCGTTTTAAATGAAGAGAGTCTCCTTGGGATACTTAGATTTTAAGAGTCACCAGTTATCCTAAGCACTAGCGAATATATGCAAACATGATTTAAGATCATATATAAACCAACTGTATAATTTTACACCAAACTGATGACAAATAAGGGGCAAAGAATTGAATTTTGTCCATCGATTTTCTGAAGCCCCAATAAATGGTAACTACAGTGTTTGGTAAAAAAAAATCCTATCTGCCAAATTTTCCTAATTACAATTATTAGGTACAGTTTTGTTATGTTGATGTTTCATTCAGAGCATAGCAGAGAGCATAAAGCAACAAAACCAGCAGCACACAAGGTCAGGCTCCATTGGATCCGTATCCTCGATTTCTTCCAACACAAGTCAAGAGGTTGCACAGATTACGTCGCATGCTGAGGAAAACGGCGAACGGAAGATCGAAGAGCCGGTGGCTGTGCCAGCAGTACCTGTAGAGAATGGAGGCCTTGCGGTACTACCGTTGAACCCGAATATGCCAGGTAATAATTGGGTCAAGGTCATAGCCTCAGTGTCAGAGTCAAAAGGTCAAGGCTGTATATATGCAATATATGAAAAAGACTTGTTAATTTAGAAACTGCTTTAGAGAATATTTCTTGATATATTTTCTTCACCCTTTACAAATGGATGATATTATGTTTTGCATTTATTACATTATTTGATTTAAACCCGATTTAAATAGATTACATTTAATTAACTTTAATTGCTATAACCAATCAGTTAGGATGTGTTCAGGTTGCATTACGGAACTAAATTATTGTCACTTGAATAAATTTGCATGCAATGGTCATCTTGTTTTTGAATTGCTATCTTAGGAAAGATTAGTTTATAATGGAGTAGTTCAATTACTTGGCAGAGCATAGACAAGATGGCAAATCTGCACCTCATTTTTTTTTCTTTTCTTTTTTGCTTTTATCTTCAAAAAGATGAATTGATAGGGATTACACTTATCACTTATGCCTGTTTTCAATAAATATTTTTTTGTCTTCGGTATGCATATTTTATTTCTGTGCAATTTCCATTTTCAAGGATATTTTGGTTTGGCAGCTCATGCATTTTTAATGGACTATTATGCTGGAAGTAAGACACTTAAGCTTGATATTTGTTGGGTCACATTGTATTTGCACTCAATTAATGTGGGTTTATTTGGATGAGATGTGGAAAATGGTTTATGTGTGGGATTTTTCTTAAAAGAAATGATCTCTTAAACGTATCATTTGATCTTTATTTTCTCAACTTTGACTGGCTGGCTACAGTTTTCTGGGAACCATATTAGTTTTGTTTTGTTTGGAATGGTCATGCTAAATTTGAATGTCCAGAACTCAATAATAACAGATTTGAATGTTTATCTTTGAAAGTACGCCCAAGGCCAGTCTTTGTGCACAGAAGTAAGTCAAGTACCTTATTTTATCGAAAAAACTGTATATTTTATGAACTATACTCTACTTAATTACGTTATTGCATGTAGAAGATGATTAAATTTGTAGAAAATCAGAGTTGTACACATTTACATTCAAATCAAGACAGAAGAAGATGAAAACAACATGCTGTCTCCATCAATTATTACAAAAGAGGGCGCCAGGTGTTGTTATACAAGTGCATCATTTTCTACTGGCTGCATACCAATTTCTTACTGATAAATACTGTTTTATTAAACATATGTCACTAATTGTGCTATATGAAACAACTTTGGCTGGACTTTAAAGGATGCCTGTTACCAGTTGGAGAGTCTCCACATAGTTTACATCCTATCTTTTAGTGAAATGTGCTTTGCTTTTCTATTCAATATGAATGATTTATCATGGACTTATAGAATATTTGTGATCATGTTTTCTTCTTCGTTGGTGCTCTCTCCAAAGGGAGGTACATAGTGGTAGTTGTGTAATTTCATGACAGCTGGTCCTCTGTTTATAAGAACATTGATGTGGTGGCTCTGAACATTTATCACACACACACACACACACATGCACGCACGCACACACACACACAAACACACACACACACACGCATGCACTCGCGGAGAGTCTATGCCAGAAAACCTTTAATATACTGGCCCTACAAGCCAAAAAAGGCCTACAAATCTAGTGGAACAAAGCAGTAACTGGTGATAGCAATTGGAAATCAATTTACTAAAAATTTTTTTTTTTTCAGTTTTACTGGTGTTTGGCATATATAGGGCCAGTGCTTAATTCACAGACTTCTCTCTCTCTCTCTCTCTCTCTCTCTCTCTCTCTCTCTCTCACACACACACACACACACACCATTTATAAGCCTCTAGGTTTTAATGCCATACCATACTATTACATGTGTTCCGTTATCCTTTCAGAGCCGTTCATAGGCAGCAATATGCCCATGTCCCCTGCAGACCTCCATGGCATGTGGTACCCCACAGTGAGGAGAACTCTGGTCTGTCTGTCCAAGCTGTTCAGGTGTGTCGATGTAAGTATCATGGCTAGCACAGGGTCTTCTATGGCATCACTTTTAACTTTTACAGTATATAAGTTTTAACAGGGGAAGAAAATGCTTTGATTGTCAACCTCTACCCCCTTTTTCATCAAACTTATAACATGTGTTCTGTTGCCTTGGTGTAAGTATTGGTGTCCCTTGGTATGGTTTTGAATGAACTTTTACAGAAATTAGAAAAACCTGAGAAAAAAGCATGGCTTGATTACTTACCAATCACCCCCATTCCTCTAAATCTACCTTCTGTGTATTGGTGTAACTTCTAGTGCCATTTGACATCAGTTTGTACTAAAACGGTATGTAAGGAAGAGAATGCTTTTATTTCAACCCCTTCCACCCTCACTTGCTACTCCCCCCCCTCCCCATGTTCTATGTTAAGATGTAAGTAGGTGAGCTCAGTTGATAGCTCTTATAATATAAGTTATTTTAAGCTTGATATCCCATACTCTTTCAGAGGACAACTTTCCAAGGACTCTCTCAGGAGGCCCTTTCTATGTGCATACAGTCCTTGGTAGAGGCAACAGACAGCATTAAGAAAAGAAAAGTGAGTATGACTTGCTCCATCTTGCTATATTTTTACTGAATTTGCTCCAGAAATTTTACCAAGTAGTCCTTATTACCCTGTTTGTATGCCATATATCTTGTAAAGATGGCCAAAAATTTCTGAATATTCAATAAAATGAGAAGGATAGGCTGTCAAAAGCACTTGTGGAGATGATGATCTGTATTCTGCTGCTCATCAGTTCAGTTCAAATTATCCATGCTTAGCATACTTGCCTCCAGAGGTTTCTTTGTACTTTTTGACATCCCTAGACCTGCTTGTCAAACATTTGTGAAACATCAAACACCCCAGCTTGAGACCAGTTTTAATACTGTGCTCTGACTGTGGTCTTGCTTTCAGAATTCAGAGATAGATGGGGAGCTCTTTCTAATCAAACACCTGCTGATTCTTCGAGAACAGATTGCACCATTCCACATAGACTTTGCAGTAAGAGAGACAGCTTTAGACTTCAGTAAACTCAAAGGTATGGCTGGAGAACTTTGTAACAGTTGTATTTATGAATACTTGATGTTAGAGTAAGTTTGGTGAATTCAGAGGCATTTATTTCTCCCCTCGATTTTAAGGATTGAACCAATGCACCAAACATGTTTTATATGTTAATAGACTGTTTAAAGAATAGTCAGAAAGGCTCTTACACACTTTTAAACAATAAAAAAAGACTTAAAACAGGAAAATGACATAGCTCTGGGGTTTGAGCTAAACTCACAAATAAGCTACACATATAAAAAAGCACTCTGCTGCCCTGGTTTTATTGTTGGTTTTCTGGTACACATTTATCTTTCAGATGCTGCCTATGGTTTGATGCATCATAAATCGATGATGTTTGCTCTGAACAGAAACAATGCTTTCCTGCAATTTCTGCTTGAAGTAAGAGCTAAGCTGTACATGTAATGGAAATTTTAGCATGCCTGAAACAAGGCTGTCGCCACTGCGATTTTATGTCTATTTACTCCTTGCATGATTCTAACTCTTTAGCACCACCAAATGTATCATAGACTTCCAACCTTAAATGATTACAATTACTGAAATCTGCATAGTAATGTACATTTCAGTGACCTAATTTTGTGCCAGTATTCCGTGTCAAAATCCAGCATATCTCAATCAACTTAACCATTGTTAGTAGGTATTTTGCAGGGTTTTGCAATAAAAGTTTGGCAGAGAAAATTCAAAATTAAAATATATTGCAAGTTCCTCTCATTTGACAAATTGGTTAAATCTAAATTTGAATAATTTATTACAGTTGATATTGTTTTAGCATGATGAGTAAATGGTGTATTTCATCCAGTGCCTTGTTTCACAATCTCATCAATGCTATCGACTTTTTGGGTATGAAATTTTATCGACACATACATTTTTAAAGCTTATTTGGCCACATCCAGAACAGTGGACTAACTGGTCTGAGGGTCCCACGGGGAATCTATTCAGTGTCTATTAGCGGATTAGATGGCAAGCTTTTTAGTGGGTCGCCATATTTGACCCTCGGACTAGTTAGACCAGTGTTCTGAATGCAGCCTTTACTAAAGTGCAGTGTTAAGAGTGACAAAATTCTTTACAGGGATCTCCACAAGTCACTGAACATTTCTTGGACTCGAAGCGTGAAGTGGACACACAGCTGAAGAAAAGTTGCGAGGATTTCATTCGCTATGTGTCGGACACAGTGGCAGGCCCACTGCACTCTTTTCTCACCAAGGTGGGTACTTTTGATATTTAAATGAGTATTTTACATTACCCATCTAAAAACGTCATCAATTCCTGTGGTTACACACTTTTCATTATAATACAGATTTTGAATTATAAATACTTGAAATAAATAAAGATTTATTCAGTCATTGTTGTATGTATGTATGTATATTTTTTTAAATGGTATAAAATGGAAATTGCTATATTAAACTGATGTGACAGTAGCTTAAAGACTGAGAATTTCTCATTGAATGATTATCTAATACATGGAAGTAAAAAAGCTCATCTAAGTTTTGCTACAAAACAAGGGTGCACTGGGTCATCCTGAAGATGGGCAGAATTTTTCAAGTTAACATTGATGGGCATATAATTTTTTCTGTCAGAAGACGGTCAAAATGGACAGTGGATCAACAAAGATAATTTGAAAGACTTTCAGAAAATATCTCTGAATCTGCCCGTGCAAGATGTATTGAACTTAACTGGATTTTGATTTTTTTCCCCAGGCTGAAGTAATAGTAAAACATGGCCAAGGGGACACTGGGCAGAAGATTTCTCTAAGACAACAGCCTTTTGCCAGCCCTGAGAAAGTCCACGAAGCAGTGACCCAGACCTACAAACACCTGAAACAGAAAATACCAAGCATACAGAAAAGCATGATGCTCTATCTGGCCAATAGAGACACAGAACACATTCTCTTTAAACCAATCAAAGTATGTATGAAATAACCAATAGGGTCACAGAGCACATTTTCTGAAAAGCAATCAAAGTATGAATGAAATAGGCAATGAGGACTTGAAACATGTGCAAGGTTTTTTTTTTTCAACATGCCTTTAAATGGACTAACTGAAAAATAGATGACTGTTTTCTGTTTCTAAGTAATTAAATGAAATAATGATTTTTCAACATCCCTTCCAACAACTATTGCCAAGTGACAAAAATAGGCTACTTTGACCTATTTCTCAATAATAATGTAGATTTCAGTGACCTAATTTTGTGTTGATATTTCAGGTCAATATCCAGCATGCTTTCCAGCAGCTTCACACAATTCTCAGTGAGAACTATTCAGAAGAAGATCAACAGATCATTGGATGTCCTTCACTTGATCAGGTGAGTATGAGTTTTCTTTATAGGAATCGGGTTAAATTTTCATGCTATAGGCTATAAAAATATCAATTGTCTGGTCCGTCTCCCATACCAGGAAGTAAAAACTGGGATGTTATTATGGTAAATGAATGTAACATTTCATTATCATTATCATTTACATGCCACAATATATGACTGGCTATG